TTAAAAACATTTAGCATTTCTTTCAAGGTTACTGATTTATCCACCTTTTATACTTTCTGTTGATTAAAACTAATCATTTCTATATTTTTAGGAAGATACCCATTTCATCAGATTTACAAATATTTACTAGTACAGAATTATATGAGAATTAATTTCTCCAGTCTATGGCTATATCCTTACGTACTGCTAATTTTTAGCAGCTTTTTTGTTTTTCTTAGATTTGTCATAGATTCATTCCACTATTCGTTCTTATTTTTGCAAAGAATTTCTTAAATTAATAATTCTATTATTTGTTTTCTAACTTTATGCTTTTATTTGTACATTTTCATTTTTCCTGCTTTCTGTTCATTTTGATGCAAAGTTTTAATTTTTGTTAAATGTTTTATTTTCATTTTTCTCGATTTAATAATGGAAGGCTTAAAAGCTAATAAATTGCCACCATCTTGAATACAGCTTTGTCCATACTTATTAAATATCTCAGTAGTTTGTAGCAGCAAATTTTAATTTATTTGTGCTGGTCCATTAGTTGTTCCTCTGGTTGGCTGGTTTGTTTTCTTTCTACATTTTCAATCAGGGTTTTGTTTGTTTAACCTCTGTTCTTACTTTAAGTTTTTCTTTCTTTACTCTGTTAAGATAATGTATTCTATAAATTTGTACAGTTTGGAATTTGTTGACTATGTATTTGTGTGTGAGAAAGATTCCTCATGGGCAATTGAACAGTGGTGTTTTATAATGATTTTCATTTTTGTTGATGAAATATGGCTTTATCATATAAAATCAAAGTTCTACCGGTTGAAGAAGGAATGGGGGGTGGATGCAGGCTAGAGCCCCACCAATCCTCTCCTCATCAACTTTCCTAAAGATCACGATGGAATTCTTGGAGCTATCTGGTAGGATTTTAAAACTGCTGCTCATTTAAAAAATATTTTACATGCATCTATTACATGAACTTGAATTTTCATTATTAAAATTTTCCCCTAAGTCAATCTGTTAAATACCAAGAACAGCGTGTTCTAGTCCACAATAGATGCATTTCTCTGATCTCTCCCCATACTACAGGATGCTTTTGCTTGGTATGCTTCAATTTTCTGGAACTTGATGATTAATACTGTATTTACTATGCTCATTATAGGTGGCATCATTAAGTAACATAAAATTACTGACTTTTGCCCATTTCAAAACTTCCTCTTTGCCCATTTTAAAACTTTTCCCCTTGAATTCTCTTTTTTCTGAACTAACTTTGTGGCCACTAGCATTTGAATCTGTCTGATATACCTCTGATAGTTTTTTTTCTCTTAGATTTTAAAAAATCTAGTAAAATTGTATTTCTATTCTTGTGGATACAGGACACATGTATATGGGCATAGTTTATATATGTATAATGTAAATGTATAATGTATAATGTAAATGTATGCATATTTGTATATAGCATGGATTTATGTAAATATATACACTAGTGTATTAAATTCTGTACTTCTTAATCCCATATACATTTAAAATTTAAACATTTTTGGGTTTCAGTTTTTATCTTAACCTTTTCAATTTTTTTTTTGGTATTTGTAATCATTTATCTTAGTGGGATTTGCTTTTTTCTTTTATGATAGATTTTATCTAAGATGATATTTTTAACTCTTGGTCTTAAGGCATTTTATTTTACTTTTCTATAATTAAAAATATCACAAGTAGGGAAGAAACACAATAGAGAGAACATACTTCAAAAACAGAAGCTGGAGAATTTCTATAGCCACCCATCTCTCTGGCTTCTTCAAGGAATTTTCCAGTGTATTTAACTCCAAAAACTGTAACATTGGGACTCAAAACCCCCAGGGATCATAACCTCATTGGGGCATAACTGAAGGATATACCTGATTTCTCTGATAATTCAGCCTTAATCAAAAGCTTTGTATTTTAAAATTTATGGCCATTTGCTTTAGGTTAAATTCAGACAGCCACCTGAGATCTTACTCAATTTTGAGCCAATTAAAAACTTTTTATGCTGCCTTAAATTCTATGTGTTTTACTCTGTTTCTCTCTAGATTCCAGCATTAGGACTCTGACTGAAAAGTAAACACAAGGTAAACAATCACTGGGGATTTCTGGCACCCTAATTTGTTTAAAGGCTGTTCTCTCTGTTCATACCTAATGTCTGCTCTCTTATTTTACCTTTATCAATTTGAGGATTAGTCAGAGGTAGAGTTCACCCAATTTTTTTAAGCATTCATTGTTTACATCCCCTTAACAAACCTAGTGGTTTATCAGACTAGATATTTCACTTGACTTGTGATAAACCTGAGCTGCTCAGGTTCCTTCACAGCAGAGCAGCTGGGTCTTCAGCAAGGCCCTTCCTGTGAGCAAACACAGTTAATGCGTTAAGAAAACTCAAAGCTATTTGCTGCTTTGAGTGACACTTTTTGGACTTTGATCGACACAGACACATTTAATTAATTAGATCTCAAGAAACTAGAATGTAAGAAATAGGATCAACAGTAAAACACACTGTCATTCTGGGTGGTGGTTGGAGGGAAGTTGTGAGTAATTATATGTTTTATTATGCTTACCATTTCTCTGCTTCTCTTTCCTAGTCCCTCAAATACATTCAAGCAGTTCTGAACACTATTTAAGCTTTCTTTGATAATTTAGAAGGATCTTCGGAAATCATGGATCATAGATCTCTATTATACATATACCCAAGTGTTAAGAATTTGGTGCTGGAGAAAAATAACAAGGGTAAGGTTTAGTTAACTATCCAGATGATAGACTAACAAGTAGAAGTGGATGGAAAACTTCAGACATTGCTGTATTTCACATCACATAATACTTATTAGCAATGAAGTAAATTATGAGAGAAACATAAAGCTGGGATCACACAGAAATCAGCAGGAAGGCACTCAATTTTCTGTAGGTTTGTTCAATGTTTTGAGAAAAAGCCAGAGTCCCAAATGAGTCTTTATGTCTATAATTTTTTTCTCTTCTAAATTACATGTAAAATGAATTAAAATAGAAAGAAAAACAGTAATAAGCTTTGCTGGTGGGTCTATACCATTTTCATACATTCTCAGGGAGAAGGTAGTAAACCAAGTTTCTGCAACCATAAGTGATGCTTAGAGAAAAAATTAAATCATTGAGTGATGCCAGGACTGATTATTCTACTGCACTTTAAAAGCAAGAGATTGCAGTCTGTGAGTCCAAAGTGGTTTCATATGGACTGCCACAGTTGTGGTTATGCTTGAAACTATAACCTGTCAAATTAGAAGCAGGCAAGGCCTATGTCTTAATGGTTCCACTTTCTACTGTCTACAGTTATATCTACAAGTTCAGCATTTTTTATTCAGTTAAAAACTCTTGTTATTTGGATGAGTAGAATCTCAAAACTACTTTTCGTTATCTTGGTTTGAGATTTTAGTTGTGATATAAAGCTTAGAGAAACTGCCGATCTAATTTTTATTGTATAGATGAAGCTGTCAATGTAACTATTTTTACTAACTATTGATCTTTTATTATTTAGTTATATATGTAATACATAATATCACTTCAGGGATGAGGTATATAAACCTCATAAGTTCCCAAGCTGCTTCCATCTTGCATTTTCACATATCTTATTGACTTTAACTTGCACCTTACTGACTCATCATTTTTCTAGGCCTACAGTAAGTAGCCTGCTATTATGAGCTCAGTATCACAATGTGTTCCATTTTCTCTCTTCTCCTTCATTGTGGAATGTCCTTTCAGGCAATGGGCTTAGTTGTCAGAGATTTTCCATCAATATTGAAAAGCTACCTGTTTAACTTCACTGATGTTTTATGCAGAGTCCTTCCTTAATGAATCTTTCTTAATGTCCATTTGTATAATATACAAGTATTTTTTAAAAAAGCAGAAACAATATTTGTTCTCTGTGTAATGCACCATAAGTGAAACCACGCCACTAAGCAATCATATCCTGTTTAGGCCATAGTGACATCAGAAATATATGTTTATCATCTGCTTTGGACAACTTAGAATGTTTCTGGCCCAAGGCAAAGTTGAACTAAAACCATTTGCAGTTGTCCCAAACCAAGATCACCACAGATTTCTAAGGTAATTGATACCTAAGGAGAACATTGCCTTTAGATCAAAGTTCATGATCTAAGCATACTAATTCTTTAAAGAAGGTTGTTAAAGTTTATAATGCATGTTTGTCTATTGGACTTCCTTCAACATTTAACATGAAATAATTACATTTTAGAATACATTTAGCAAGAGACTAGCAGGCACTTGGCATGATCTGCAATTACCTCTCTACCCCAATTTAAAGAGAAAGGTAAAATGGAGATTTTTTTAAATGTATAAAAGAATAATAAGAATGATTAAGAATAATGTCTTGTATTTTTTGGAAGGTGCTCAAATGAAATCACTACTGTTATTTTTCCAGAAATATTTAAGGAAACAATAATTTTATGAATAGATAGGTAAAGTAGATAAAAGGCATATAATTCTCACAGTCATTGTTAAAACATATTCAGGAATCCAAACACATGTCAATAACTTTCTGTTAAAGTGACATAAAGCATGTAATTGCCTGGATACTACCTCAGCTAGTGAGTTCATCCACAGCCTGCAAATACAGCCTGAAAAATAGCTCTTCATACCAGACGCCAACACAAAAGCAGTTAGGATCACCTTTGCCCACAGAGATAACTGGATGATTTGGAATAAAAATAAATAATATTTGATTTATAATTACCTTTTATGGAAAATAATATCAGTACAAGTGACATCCAGAAGGGAGTTTAGGGAAATCTACTCATAGTCAAAGGAGGAAACAGAAACAAAACTGAAGTTGTCTCCCAAAGTGAACTCGGAAAGCAGGATTTGACACTGTCTCCAGGATATCCCACTGCATAATGCTGCCTTCAGACATGAAAACACGGACATGGGCATTTCAGACAACAGCTAAAGAACATAAATAGCATAGACATTGCAATGGTTATTCTATAACTGTAAAAGGTAAGAATGTACTGCACCTCCATTCTTTCTTGTTTAACTTCATCAATTTCATCATCTTCAAACATTGCCAAGAGTTCTCCTGTTTGGTCAATAGAGTTAAGAAAGTCTTGGGCAGTTTTTTGTCTACTGTTCACATTACTGTTGCCACTCAATTTGTCTTCATAAAGATAAGGGAAGGAAAAAAGAAACATGCTTAATAGGTTTATATCGGCACCAGTCATTACATGTAATGAATACTGCATACGAAATTCAGAAATGGAATTCTCTCAAAATACTCCTTAAAAGGAGAATCCTTCCACCTAAAATAAAAGCATAAGTAATGCAGAATTAAATAATTTATTTATGTCATAAGTAAGATTGAGAGAATAAAACCAAATTATTCATTACCGCAATAAGTGGGAATGGGTTGATTAAAACTCCATACAAAAAAAAGGAAAGACTCTCAGATTTGGAAAAATAATCCTGCTATAATAAGACTAAGAAATTAAATAAAAATGAAGATATAACATCAGGATTGAGACATTAAATTAAAAGAAGAGAATATTATGTACATTACTGTGGCTAGTATATTTGAAACCTAAAGGGATGAGATTTTTCTCTTTTTTCTTGTCAGAGAGAAAACTGTCATATTTCTTTAAAATCTGGCAGACCTGGTATCTGATGAGGGTGTGCCTCTTCCTGTGCCCTCACATGGCAGAGAGCAGAGAACAAAAGGAAGCTCTCCTGTGTCTCTTCTAACTTACAAGGGCACTAATCCCATCCATGAAGGCTCATCCTTCATGTCATAATTATTTTCCAAAGGCTGTACCTCAAAATACTATCACAGTGGGGATTAGGCTTGAACATACGAATTTTAGGGGACACAAACACTTAGTTCACAGCAATGACCTTTATCAGGTTGAAAGTTTTCTTTCCTTCCTGGTTTGTTGAGTGTTCCTCTCATGAAAGACTGCTAGATTTTTTTCAAATGATTTCTCTACATTTATTGAGATAATCATGTTTTTTTGTCCTTTATTTTTATTAATATGATGTATTACACCAATTGTTTTCTAAATTTAAACCAGCCTTCTGTTCCTGAGATGAATCCCATTTGGTCATGGTGGATAATCCTTTTTAGATATTGCAGGATTCAGTTTACTAGTATTCTGTTGAATATTTTTACATCTATAGTCAAAAAAATATTAGTCTGTAGTGTAAAACTTGTGATGTGTTTGTCTGGTTTTTCTATCAGTGTAACACTGGCCTTGTAGAATGAGTTGGGAAAGGACTGGTACTAATTGTTCCTTAAACACTTGGTGGATGACTTCATTGAAGTCATCTGGATCTGGGTTTTTCTTCGGGGAAAGATTAAAATTACTAATTCAAACTCTTTACTTGCCATAGATCTACCTAGATCTTTAATTTCTTCAGTAGTTTGTGTCTTTATAGGAGAGAAAGTAAACACAGAATTGGTTAAATTAACCATTTTATTTACCATTTGTTTCTTTTCATTTCTTTTTGTAATTTCAGCAACCATCTTGCGTCATCCTTGCTCCAATGCAGCTTTGTAACCATCTAGTTACGTTGTTACTGTCAAATATGTTGCATTATCTATCTTTACATTATATACACAATGGATTTGGATTTTTTTTTTCAAATGATTTCTCTACATTTATTGAGATAATCACGTGGTTTTTGTCCTTTATTCTTATTAATATAATGTATTACACCAATTGTTACCTAAATTTAAACCAGCCTTCTAGTCCTGAATATACATATAGTTTTATACAAGTGCTTTTTAAAGCAGTTGAGAGAATAATAGAAGATGGGAAAAGAAATACGCAATTTATATTGTCTCTTACATTTGATAATTACCCTTATAGGATAGGTGCTCTTTGGTTTTTGTATGTGTGTGTGTGTGTGTGTGTATATCCAAATTATTTCTGGTATAACCTCCTTTCAGCCTGAAAAACTTCTTTTTATATGGGTATATTAGCAAGAAACTCCCTTAGTTTTTGTTTATCTGAGAACATTCTTGCATTTTGAAAGATAGTCTTGCTGGATACGGTTCTTGGTTAACAGTTCTTTTCTTTCAGCAATTTGGGTGTCATCCCACTGCTATCTGATCTGACCTACATTGTTAATGAGAAGGCAGCTGTTAATATTGTTGGGGTTCTGCTGTATGTGATGAGGTACTTTTATCTTGTGGCTTTCATAATTTTCTCTTTGCCTTTGTCCTCCAACATTTCTACTCGAATGTGTCTGTGGGGGTCTCTATGTGTTTATCCTGCTTGAAGCTTGTTCAGCTGCTTGGATGTGTAGATTAATAATTTTTATCAAAGTTGGGAAATTTTATATCAGTATTTCTTTGAGCATTTTTTTCTCCTTCTTCTCTTTCCTTTTCTTCTGGTAGTCCCATTATGCATATGCTGATGCAGTTAATGGTGCTCATATTTCTCTGAAGCCCTGCTAACTTTTCTTCATTCTTTTATCTTTGTTCTTTAGCTTGCATAATATTTAATGGTCTGTCTTCAAGTTCACTGATTTTTTTCTTCTGTTAGTACAAAGCTACCATTGAGCTCTTCTACTAAATTTTTCATCTTGGTCACTGTACTTCTCAACTCCAGAATTTCTATTTGTTTCTTTTTAAAATTTCTGTCTCTTAATTGATATTTTCTATTTTTTGAGACACTGTAATCACAATTTCCTTTTGTTCTTTAAACATGGTTCCTTTAGTTCTCTGAACATATTTATAATAGCTACTTTGAAGTTCCTGTCTGCCATGGCCAACATCTGCGGCTCCTCTAAAGCAGTCTGTGTTGTCTGCTTTTTCCCCCCCTTTTATGGATCACACATACCTGTTTCTTTATATGTCTAATGTTTTTTTGTTGTTGAAAATGGGCATTTTAGATAATATACTGTAACAACTCTAGATAATAGTTTCCTCCCCTTCCTGGGGCTTGTTGCCACTTTTGCTTATTTATGTTTATGTTTGCTTATTTATTATTATATGTTTAGTGACTTGGCTGGACGAATTCAATAAAATCTCTTTCTCTCACAGCATACAGCCTCAGTTGTTGCTCCTCAGAATTCACAGCCTTGATCATGCAAATGGTCTCCTTAATCACCAGGCATGACTATGGTTTTAGTCAGATTCTCTTTCATTGTCATTTTTCTTGATCTCTCCATTAAGTTTCTAGTTGATCTGGTTCTGTTGGTATCACACAAGCTGTTAGCCTTCACTAACTGTTGGCTGATTGTTCCACTGTTTTTGATAGTATTCTTGTGCGTAAATTGCTCCAGACTGATCTAAATGCTGTTGAGCCCCTTTGCAAAGTCAAGGTACTGCCAGCCTTTAAATTTTGTTTTGATCCGAGGAGTACTCTTCTTAGCTATCCTTTCCTTTGTTTCTTTAGCTGATGCACTGTTTTTCTTCTTGTTACTAGTATCACAGAACTATCAGCATCATCAACAGAATCTCCACTGTTTTTTACAACACCTTTAGCTACAAATGTCCATATGCTCTGTTCCAAAGAGTCTCCATTGGGAGAGCTGCAGAACTCTCTGTCATTAAGATATACCTCCCCTTTGGCTGAACTTGTGTGCCAATCTCCTGGATCTGGGGGCAGGAACAATGGCAGTTTCTTCTGTAAAAACTCTTTTGGATTTAAGAGTGGGGAACTGGGCAGGAATGGTAGTCCCTTGTCTTCTAGGATTGTCCCTGATGGTGTGGAGCTTTACTCCCTATTCACAAGCTAGGATGGGGCAATCAGAGCTAATATTCTCAGCCTGCCATGACTGGTGTACAGCTCCCCTATGAATAGAAGGTAAGTGGAAGCACCAATCCTTTCAGCTGTGCCTGCCTAGACAAGAACTTCTGCAGTATGGAGCTGGAGGAGATGAGAGATGCTGACCTCCTTGACCTCCTGGTGTGAAACTATTGCCCTAGACAGGGAGAAGGAGAATCAGGTGCCCAGTGTTCTTGGACACACTTGCCCAGAATAAGGCTTCTACCATAATGAGCTGGGGTGGCAGGGTAGCGGGGGAGGAGAAGGTTGATGGGAGCGGGTCATGACTCAAATGCAACAGACTATTCACTGTTCCTAATGAGATTTAGTAGGTTTTCTTGAATATATGTTTCTGTATTTGCTCTATACCCTTAGGAAAATTTCTGCAGATGTTAAATTATTATCATTATTTTTAGTTTTCACTAGTTAAATATGCTTCCTTTGAGAAAGAGCCTACCACATCCCTCACATTGCCATTTTAGAGGTTGTTCCTCAGTATTAGATGTATTTTACCTGAGTATTTTATTTTATAAATTAAATCAACCATTGTAAAAATTTATATAAGACACACAAAATTAGAAAATTTAAATGACAATGAAGAGGGGAGATTTGAAATAAATATGAGAGAGCATCAAATTGATATGATGCTGTTATAATATTGAAGACTGAATACTAGCAAAACTGAATACTAGTCTTACAACTCTGAGCTTGTTGGTATTCAAAGCATGGTATTAATGACTATCATTTATTCAGTGGCAGGAATATGTTGGGTGTTTTTCATACACTATATTGAACTCTCAGAAGAACTCCATATGCTAAGTGGTATAATTTCTGACTTAAAAATGAGAAAACTGACCTTCAAGGTCATACAGAGAGAAAGCAGATTAAGTGAGATTGACTGAATTACGGTCTGTTTTGCTGAGTCTGTATTATTTATGCTGTCCAGAGAAGGAAGCACTTAAATTCATCTGGCAAGGTATTTTCCAGGAATTAAATGGGACTTGTAGGAATATTAAATAGGCAATACTGATTAAACACTTGATTAGAATATTTTTTTTTTGTATAGCTATCATATTTGCTGATTTGTTGAGGGTAAATGAATGTAACTAGTTTTCTTCCAAAGTTTGTTACCTTTTCCGTTGGTTTTGAAGTCTTCTGAATTCTTAATCCAGCAAAGTTTGTTGTCACTTTATTTATCAGTGTGTCTATAGCAATGAACACCACTATATAGTGACTATATATTCAACACAAAATATACGACATAATTATTTTGATTCAGTAAGTTTCATTTAGAAATTATTTTCAGCTTAGCACTGTTGGATTTTTGCAATATTAATAATTTTTCTGAGTATTCTAAAATGGGGAATTGAGGTGGAAATCAGATAAGGAGAAATTTCTACTCTGTTAGGATTTTTGTTAGATTTCAAACAGCAGAGAAATAACACATCAAAATGAGGTGATTATATATCACAAAACATATTAGATACTTTTCATAATAAATTAACAAAAACCCTTGTGTCCATTTCTAAGGTATCTTACAATAATTCATGGCAGAAAATTGTTTGCTAAAATCAATTATATTTTGAATCAACATAATTTTCTTAGTTTCATGGTATTTTGATGTAAAGTAGGTTTTATGATTAAACGAAATAACTGAAATACCACAGTATTTTGGTGTCATATACATTGAAAATCACAAGATTTAACGGCCGACTAAATACTTGGATAATTTCTAAACTATATTATTTAATGGAAGTACACATATTTTACACTAATGGCCATATCTACACTGATACTGCATAAATGTGTTGTTCAGCAAACATGTATCATACTGTTTTTAGTCTAGTGTTTGTTTAGGTTACCTTCCAGAAGATCATCCTCATCTATGCCTTTCACAATCTTTGATTTGTAGTCTCGGAAAAACATATATTTTAGCAGTCTTCTAAGTTTTTTCTATTAAAAACATGAAATAAGTACATAAGAAAACTTACACATATATTCACTTTACTGATTAAAGACTATTATGATAATGATTACGGTAAATTTAATAACCTCGTAGCCCAGGATCATTGAGGAAAACATACAAATTCTCAGCATAATACTACAAAATAAAAAATGTACACATGAAATGAAACATAAAAGCTAAAACACAAGCATTTTAAAAGCAGTTTTCATTTGTAAGTATCAAGATGCTCCAGAAATCATGATAGTTGTTGATTTTTTCTTTTTTCTTATAAGAAGTTTTAAAAAGTCTTTCTGGAGATTATAAATATCACATTCTCCATACTAGGCTGACCATATAACTTTAGGGAATTTTGTACATATCCAAGACCAAATTTTATTTTTAAAAGTGATTTAAAGCATCCAGACAAAGAGCTTGTAACAACTGCTTTAAAAAGCCAAGCACTCTCCTTTTCATGTTTTTTTTAATTCTCTGTGAATCTTTCATTTAGAAGAATTGGTTTATATTTTATATTTCTGGAGGAATTCTATAACCTGAGAAACATATTTTTGTGAATGTTAAAGCTGATGAATGATAGTTGGTTCTTAATGATGGTTTTCTTTAGGTTTATTAGAAGATAAAATACTACTTAACTTTAACAGTAACTGATAATATTTTGCAATTCATTTGTGTGTTTACACTTAGAATGTCTTATTATTGGTTCCTGAGCTTCAGGTTTAAGATTCCTAATAATAACTGAAACCTACTGCATTATACAAAGCTATTTTACATGCATTTTATCTGATCTTTTCAATAGCTCTGACATATATAAATATAATCATCTCCTTTTTATATATTGGGAAAACTGAGGTTAAAAATTGTCTTGTAACTAGTGCTTAGCAGAGCTAGAAGTAGTACCTACCCTCAGGGCTATTGGTGAGGAGTATCTGAAAGAATGAGTGAAGCTGCCTAGGGTAACATGTGAAATACAAAGGCAGTCAATAAATACTGCCTGAATATAAATTAGAATTATTAAGAGAAAAAATATACACCTGTCTTTTGCTACCCTTTTCTCTTCACTGATTCCATTCAGTACTAGATTTTGTCTTATATTACCTCATATATGACACCTGTGTAAATTATACCTGTTAACTTTAACTTGAAATGTTAGCATATAAATAAATTATTTTGAGGAGAAAGATGAGAACACTGTCATATTATGGCTGTGTTCTCAGTTGCTAAAAAGGTTTGGTTAAGAAACCTTTTGGAGAAATGGAAGCAACCTAAGTGTCCATCAGTAGATGAATGGATAAAGAAGATGTGGTACATATACACAATGGAATATTACTCAGCCATAAGAAGAAAACAAATCCTACCATTTGTAACAACATGGATGGAGCTAGAGGGTATTATGCTCAGTGAAATAAGGCAGGTGGAGAAAGACAAGCATCAAATGATTTCATTCATATGTGGAGTATAAGAGCAAAGGAAAACTGAAGGAACAAAACAGTAGCAGACTCACAGAACCCAAGAAAGGACTAACAGTTACCAAAGGGAAAGGGACGGGGGACGATGGGTGGGAGGGAGAGATAAGGGGGAAAAAGGGGCATCACGATTAGCACACATAATGTAGTGGTGCGGGAGGACACGGGAAAGGCAGTATATACAGAGAAGACAAGTAATGATTCTATAGCATCTTACTATGCTGATGGACAGTGACTGTAATGGGGTATGTGGGGGTGATTTGATAATAGGGGGAGTCTAGTAACCATAATGTTCAAGTAACTGTACATTAATGATATTGAAAGAAAAAAAAAGAAACATTCTGGACAGTAGAAGGGCATTATCAATTAATGTATGTTTCTGAAGTTTCAACATGATAATTAAACTGACTTTCCCAAAAGGAAGAAAAAACTGTCAGTGCAGACTGTTTCTTGTCCACTTTACCTCTGTCAGTGAAAAAGAAAAATTGATTGGACATATTCTGTAAAGTACTAATGCTAACTCTATTGTTCTTCAGCTGCCTTCACAGAGAATCTTGACTCAAGATTCTCCCTTCTGCCAATAGCACCTTCAGACTCCTTCCTCACAGCACCATTGCTGTATAGTGCCCTGTGTCCTTAGCCCTCCAAGTACTGTATAATGAAGTCATCAAATCCTGCATATTCTTACTCTTCATTACCTCTCTAAATTTTTCCTTCCTGTCCACCTCCAGAGCCATCATACTAATCATATTTTTCTTTGATTACTGAACCAGCACCCTGGTTAGTTCCTTTTCATTTGGTTCATGCTATGTAAAACTACATGAGTCTCACCCTAGGCAGAAATCTCCACTTGAACAAATCCTACAGACTCTCCATGTAATCACACAGCCTTAAAATTCTATGAGTCTTAAAATGCTTCTTCAACTAAATCATACAGACATCCTGGACCAGATTATAGCTTCTTGATAGTAAAGACCTTTTCCTCGTTCTTTAATTTAAGAGTTAATGAGCTAAAATTTTACAAAATTTAATGGCATACTGGTTAAGGTGCACTTTGTAGGTCTCTGAATCTCACTGCATAAGGATATGGGTATTATAAAGGATGCTAACAAGGTCACCCAAAAGGTCAGATGGACGCCTTCTGATAAAAAACAGAGCCACAGGCATATAAATGATGGAGGAGAAATGGGTAAATTAAAAGGCCAGGGGGAAAAAAAATGGAGAAATGAAAGATGGATGGTGAGGAACTAAACACTCCTGCTCACCTGGATGGCATCTGCGCTAACATCCTGTGTCAGTTAGGTGTGTACATGTGACTTGAAGATGAAATTTTTATTGAAAACATGTAAAATATTATAAAATACTTTCAACTAGCCACTCTTAGGAGATATTTATAACAAAAATTAGACAATGAAGTACCAACTTAAGTATTTTAGTGACAGAGTTCAAACAGTAAAAAAGGTAGATATTTGACTATAAAGAAAGCTAGATGTTAGGATATATATTTATGCTCCTGGAATAATTGACTTGTTTTTCCTATAAACCAGTGTCACAGAATAAACTTTGTATTTCACGTTAAAAAAATTACTATATGAAAATCTGTAATTCTATACAAAAATTAGAAGAATACAACACCCAGTTAATATCCCACTTATCAGAACAAAGTCCACAATCAATACTTAGAGAAATTATGTAGCAATAAAAATGTCTAAATAGATATGCAAGATAAGAGAAATTCATTGTCAGCATGGCTTTACATAAGTGCCCTTGTCCATGTTAAAAAAAAATTCAATTCTATTGTAGTAAACCACTTAGTTGTGCAAACCATGAAGATTAAAACATCAGCTTAATCAATAGTTATGATTCTAACTGGAAAGCTATATAAAAGGATATTTTCCTTATATAAGTGTAATTAAGCACCAAATATGTTTTAGTAATTGAAATTGTCTGAATTACCTTATCTTTGCGCATCAAAAACAGAAGATCTTCAGCAGAGATTGCCCTTGCTCCCCGAAGCTGAGAAACTTCAGCAGCTTGCTGTAACTAACAACAAAGGAAATCAGCAATCTTTATTAATAATGTAAATGAAATATACTATAGTCACGGCTCATGAGAGATAAATAATACTAAGAGTTAAAAACTTTGGGAAATAATACAGCAAGCAATCACAGTGCTGCTTTAAAAATTAAAACGTCTTATGTCTTAAGGTATAAAAAATTACAATTAATTTATAAGCCCACCTGTAACTGATACAATAAATAGAAATTCTTGATTTTGTTCAGGCAAAAGAAAAATCATATGCAGCTTCCAGAAATGCATTAATACACCTGAAAATAATTTTATGATATTTTATCCTCAGATCCAAGTTAGGAATGGTTTCACTCAGTATCACTAGTTGAATAAGTATATTATTTATCTGAGCTCCCATGCTGGTATGATTTGAAATAGGCCCATTCAGAACTTTAAAAGATCAACAAAAACAGTAGCTGTTTCTAATATCCAAAGGAAAAAAAATAGTTTTAGTTTTGGCAAGTCTTCAGTGGGCAAAGGATTCAGTCCATAAATCATAATACTAGACTGCATTAATTTCTTTCCACACTAATCATATGCACACAAAAAGTTAACTGTATCTGGAATGTACAACACAAAACATACTGCATGAAAAGTTAGACTTCCCCTGAAATGTTCTTCTGGGCCCTTATATCTACAAAGTAGAGAATTTTCTGGAATTCAGAAGTTCTAGAAATACAATCTTACTTGAAAATGACCTGGGAAATAAAAGAACGTGAAAAATGATAGCTCTGTTTTTTGGCACAGACAAAATCAGGTTCTTATTTCGATTAGTTGGAAGAAACCTAAAATACATCCAGCTGAACAAAATAAAGATGCTGGAGAAAACACTATAAAAATGTGTCTGTAACTTCTTCCAAATTTGATCAAACCATGGTGATTGTACCAAACCAACTCTATCCAATATTATAAAGCTATTCCTGAATGCATCCTTCTTGGAAAGGAATAAATCTAACATATATTCCTGAGAACTAATCTTTAAAAAGTGCATATTGTTATCTTAACAATTACAAGAAATCAAATAGTGCATTTGTACTAAAGAAATTCTGTTTGAATACTTAGGCAATTTTGCTAAGTAAGCTTCAAACCTTGTCTAAATACACAGACTACAAAATAGACTATAAACTCCCTATGTGTCAGCCTTACCACTGAATTTCCTGGATACTGGTGGTTGGTATATAAACATAATTCTACCTAAATATAGAAATTTAAATTTAACTGTGAACCATTTAAAAAGAAATCTTGGGGGAAAGCTTTTTAAAAAGATGATGTATCCACTCAGAAAGAAACTAAAAGTTTTCAGCAGGAAAAACTTGAATATATTTTTCTAAAAATTGGAAAATGTCAGAGAAATATGTGTACACATGATTTTTCAAATAAAGAGATTTCTATACATTCCATCACAGTATAAAATACACACAATTAGTGTGGAGAAGAATATGGGCTCAGTATTCATTTAAATGTCTGGAAGTCATAGAGAGAAACAGGAGGAGCCCTATCAGGTAACTGTATTTTCTTAAGTGAAGGATGGTGAAGATTTGAAAACACGCTACACAATATTAAGTAATTTTGTTCATTGCAGGATCAGGATAAGTATATATCCCTAGTTCTCCCAATTATCAACTGTTTATCCATACTACATATAAATAATCTGGATTCATACCTTTCTCCAAAACGTCCATTTACAAGCACATTAATTAGGGGGGAAAAAAAGAAAATGCAAAATAAAGATAGAAAAATCAGACATTTTAAAACACCTTTCCATAACCAGTACACAACTACTGTAGGGACTGGAATTTATGTCATAGCTATGTTGTCATAATTAGCAGGAAGACTTTATCTTTAATTTTTATCTATCCAATTTACTGATTTCCTTCACCTAACGTAGCATCCTTAGTAGCCCTAGTACGTCTGTACGTCTTGGACTCCAATGCAGTGAATCCTCAGTACTAAAGTTATCACTGTGTTACCTACCTCCCCAAGCTTATCTGGCCCTGATATGTCCCGTGATCCTGAACTGCCTCTCCCAAACTTTGACCTCCTCTTCTCTGCAGAGTGAGGAAAGCAATCTTAATAGCTAATTAGAGTGATCACAATAAAGTATGTTATCACCCATTTGCTTACTTCTACACATTTTTGTCTATGGCTACCAGAAAGAGTCAAGAAACACCTAACAACACAACTTAAAACAGATTAGCAGTGTCACACACAGTCCAGTTCCACAGGATGCTGAGCTCAGGATTGGTGCATTTAATATGGAAACAATACTAGAACCAGGAAACCAAATCACAAAATATTCTTAATACCTTCAGTGTTAAAAAAAAGAAAAGGTGACTCTATATTCTAAGATATTCCTCAGTTTCTTAATTCTTGAAAATAAATGCAAGTTGTACTTCATTATTCACTGTAGCAAGTCAAATATTTCTGGCAGTAACTAAAATAGCATAAAATGGTATATTTTACAATTCTTTGTTACAATGAAAGTAGTACACATTTAATTGCATTATAAAATATGCAAGAAATGACAGAACAGAGGAATACTTAAGACTACTCACTAATTGAACGAGTATGCAAAGTTAATTTTCTTAACTATATGGATAAAGGTATGGTAATAGTAACCTAATGGAGATTTATTTGCAGCTTGGTAAAATATTTTCCCAAAAGGCATTATTCTATCACAGTAGCAACTCATTCAGGCATTTTTTCTGACACTATTTCTATTCTTCAAAGTAAACTAAAAATAATACTCTTGGAACAGCTGTTTAAAAGACAAAAATTTCCCCTAACAAAAAACACTCATTATGTTTCCTTTCTAAATATTTTCTGATACTTTACTTGGAGGTTGAGCACTAAAAGGTACATGTTAAACTTTACAAGTTATGTTAAATGCTTTATATTGAGCCCACAAGTCTCTTTTCAATTTCTCAGTGCTATCCATGACACTAACATTCAAACTCAATTATTTTTCACTATTATATTTTCACCAATTTCTGTTGATTTTGTTGTTTGTTTTAATTTGCTCAGGGTCTTGAATTTGTTCTCTACTTTCACAGTATTCATCCTAATCTAGGCCTTTGAGGATTTTTGTTTATTGGCTTCTAAACTTCAATGTCCCCAAATCGTGATGTATCCTAGGAGTCAGTGCTAAATTGATTGTGATTGTCTTCAAATATGATAATCATAATTCTTATTTCTGGGATCTATGATAATCCACTATTATCTAACATCAAAGTAGTCTTTAAAGCCAGACTGATTCATAGATTTTCTCTGTATTTCCATTCTCATATTTTTCTTTCATATTATTCTACATTTAAGATCCCATAATTTTAGTTCTATCTTTATTAATTTTATATACTTATGATGGTTAATTTTATGTGTCAACTTGATTGAGTCAGACATTTGGCCAAACATTATTCTGGGTGTGATAATGAGGGTATTTCTGGATGAGATTAACATTTGAAATGGTAGACTGAGTAAAGCAGATTGCCCTCCCAAAAATGAATGGGCCTCCATCAATCAATCAGTTGAAGAACTAAATATAAGAAAAAGGCTAAATTACAGGGAACTCCTTCTGCCTGACTGCCTTGAAGTGGGACACTGGTCTTTTCCAGTCTTCTGACTTGGACTGAAACTTCTCCCAGTTCTCAGGCCTTTACCTTGGACTGGAGATACCCTTTCCCTCTCCTGGGTTTTTAGCTTGCCAACTACAGAACTTGGGACTTCTTGTTCTCCATAATTGTGTGATCCAGTTCCTCACAATAAATTCATCTATGTATGTGTACACACACACACACACACACACGCACATCCTACTGGTTCTGGTTTTCTGGAGAACCATGACTAATACAGTATTATACTCAAATACAAGAAATTCTTGATTCTTCGTGAGATGCAGCAATTTCTTCTTTAAACAATAGGTTTCAAAATAATTTTCTCAAAGAAAAAAGATCTGCAATTACCTTCATTCAATAGTGTTTATAATCTAACTTAAGCATGGAACTTGACATACTCAGTTTATAGTATCTTATAAGCACAATAAATGTTCTTTATTTTTTTCAACCAGTTAGGTAACATTCCTACTTCCCAACTGCCTTTTGAATAATATCTTTAGGTCCAGGACAGCTATTTCCCAACAGGCAGTTTATAAATGTTCGTTAAATGCTGGCAATCGGCAAGCCATTTCATTTCCCCTGATCATTTGCAGTTTTCCCATATTACATAAATGAATTGGGCTAGATGAAGTTAATAACTCCTGCATTTGGCTAAGGCCCACATAAATTCAGCAGAAAGAGTTCTCTAAAGTTCCAAAAGGTTTTAGAAGTACAGCAAAATTAATTTGATGCATTTATAATCATTAAAATCCTGAATATAACATCATTTTAACCACACTTCTGTTGCATCTCTTTCCTTTGGGTTCTGGCTAAGTACTTGGATCTTTCTTTTTGGAGGATAAATAGTAACTAAATAAATAGTAAAAGGCAGGAAGTGTTGAAAGCTATGTCATTTAGAGGCAAACTCTTAGGCTAAGTTGTCACCTGGCCTAAGATTTATATATGTCTGTCTTGCTATCCATTTGTCTATTATGCAATATTTACCAGGGAAGGTTCTAGGTAAGACTACAAAAAGACATTTCTGCTTACAGCTATACTTGTCAGCCACAGATAATCTCAAAGATCTTCGCTAAATGTTCCATGTTATGACTGAAGGAAGTAGGAGTTAGGAAATATGGACTCCAGTTCTAGCCCTACAACTAAGTATATATAAAAAAAATACAAGGTTTGTAGGCTTACATGTTTTTCCCCCATTTGAAATGGGTAGTCAATTATTTTAATGACTAGGAAGAGAGTCAATAATTTTAGTGGTAAGAATAGCTACCATGTATTAAGTACTTAATTTGAACCAGGCACTGTGATATGTGTGTTGCAAATATTTAATTCAAATTAAAAAAATTTTTCTAATTTAAAATTTATGTG